GTGAGAAAGGTTCTTTCTAGCCAAAATATTTTATTTTGTATTTTTAAAATAAATTTGAACAGGTACGATGAATTAAATTTTGTGTAATAATATAAAAATAATTGGTAGTAACTTATCTCGCAAATAAGGGGTAGAACAAGTTTTAGAATTAAGTTTAATCTAATTAAAAAATTAAATTAATTAGTTTAAATAAATTTATAGTAAATATAATTATCATTACATGAATATTTTATTAAAAAAATATAAAAAACTATACTCGTAATAAAATTACATTGTATGTATAATAAATAATATCAATTATAAAAAAAATCATGATCTTTTTTATGAAAATCATTTTATAATTTAAACCTTATATACAATGAAAAAAAACAAATTCTTCATCAAACTAAAATATTTTTCATTAATCAATCTTCTAATACCCTCACATCAAACATATTAATTCAAAACATTTTCGATCATAGATACAATTTTCAATTCCTCTAAACTATAGTTTTAAATCTCAAATGATTATGAATTATTTTTAAAAATTAAGTTAATTAGCCACAACAAACTTAATTGAGTTATTAATTATTTTTAAATCATTTAATTCAAATCAACTGGTTGAATTAAGTTATCAATTTAATTAATGAGAAAAAATATTTTCAAGATTCAAAATAAGGAAACTAAAAAATCTAATCCACAAATTTAGAGTAGTTTGAAACATTAAACTAATATTTTTAAATAATCACTATATAAATATAATATAACACATACATATATTAGTCATATCACTTTTATTTCATAATGAGAAATTTTGACTAATAATATCAGAATGACCACCCTACACTCTATTGTGTCACCTTGCAACGAATAAAGAATAAGAACAATTGCACATTTCTTAACCCCTTAACACCAGTTACTCGTGTTTTCGCAATTGGAGAAAAAAAGCATTGGAAATAAGTAACCATAGGTAGGACTGAGCATCTTGCTTCTATTAAGATCTTATAAGAGTTCCAGAGTTCATAAATCTTCACATCTAAATCATTCAAGATAATTTATTATCCCTATAGTCCCTTAAGAATTCAAGTGGAAATTAAAAGTTTTGTATTAAATAAAAATAAAAGAATTAAGTAGTATAGAAAAATAAAAGATTACATACATTAAATGATGTCAAATATCTTATCTTAATACATACCTTAAATATGATCAATCTTTCTCTTAAATATAAACACAAAAGTTAAATAGTATATATAAAAAAGAAACCTACAAACACTAAATTGTAAAGCTTTATTTTATTATAAGTAGTGCCATATCTTTTATATGAACATCTAATATTAAATATATGTAGTCAATTTTCTCAAGTTTCCCTATAAAAGAAATTCAACTGCATCTTTTAAAATATCTTTAGTTAAACATGTCCTACTAACCTATACGAGATATATATAAGGATTCATCCATTCAAAAGTATATAAAAATTCATCATTAATTAACTTTTTATATCAAGACGGATTGTTGTACTTTATAATAGTACATCAGTATGATACTTAACATTTATGGCTTATCAGAACCACAAACTTAATTGATTTTTAATTTATTTTGTCCAATCTGATTCCACTATTAATAAAATATTCAATCAAGTTTCTTATCTTTTAAAGATCTCAACAATGTGACCACTTTTTCCAGAAATTGGTAAAAAGTAATTAACAATATTACTTTTAACACATAAAAGGGTTACATTGTAGTACTTAAAAAAACAAATCAGAAACTTATTCGCACAATGAAAGAGTCGTATTGTTACACTTTTAAAACAAGAAAATTTAATCGATTTTTTTTAGCAGAGGAATAATATATTGAATAAAACAAATAAATAATGAGGCGAAAAGGTAACTGCATGTACATATTATTTGAAAATTCAATTAAATTAAAAATAGTATTAAAGGGCGAAACGTTTATTGTATCGTATGAAATATTAACCGAACGGTTGATGATTAAGACCGATCGGTCCATCCGTCATTGGTGAACCCAACCAAAGGGTTTGGACCGTAATTAGGCCTACAAAGCTAATAAGCTATTTCAAATGGTAATTGGACCCGCACTTAAGTTGTTACTGGGTCAATAATCTAGTGAATAATAAAATAATTCAAGATATCTGCTTAAAGATATTTGATAAACCAAATTCATAAATATTTGGTTGAAAATATTGATGAACAAAATTTTCAGGTAATTTGTTTATATCTTGTTTTGTTTATATTTTATTGAGTTTTTATCAGTTCATAATCCATGAGATAAATTATAAATACAAAGTCAGCAAATTAGTATTTCGGTTTCAGAAATATTTGGAGAAACATTTATTAATGAGTAAACATCCATTTTTATTGAAAGAAGACTACATAGGAGGTGATAGGTCTGTGAATAAAGGCATCGATCGAGCACATTGGTCTTTTTATTTTGGTTAGTTATTAAATTTGTTACCTTTGTGAACAAGTTACTATATTAAGTGTTAAGGTGTCGTGTTTCTATCGTTGCTAGCATTTTTCTCTCTTATTCATATCAAATAAACCTAAGTGGTTGGGTTTGAAAAGTTTCCACCTTATAGAATACCATTATGTTCGAGCTTCACCTACCAACAAGAGGAGAGGATAAGGTAGAAAGTCCAACTAAACTCAATTTTTGTTTGTAAGTGTCCTTTTGATACTATAATAAAAATATATATATCTTTTTTTATTTGGAATGCATGGAATTAAATAAATATATATTAATGTCAGCACGTGGTATGTAAAGGTTCTGAAAGTTAAGTAAGAATGAGAAAATTAAATAAGGAAGAAAAGCATTTTACGTGTTCTAAGCATAATATATGCAAATAATGAAACATTTACTGCAGATGATGTAAAGAATTGTAATTATCGCTTAAAATATTAACGTAAATATGAATTATCGCGTAGGTTATATGTTAAATAAAATAAAAGATATTAATTTGATATTATTTAAAATAAGGAATAAATTGATTGAACGAAGGGTGGGCCTCATTCACTGAAAAAAACATGTATTAAAAGGTCATAGAAATCTTAAAAGCACAATAAAGCAAAATGTACATTGAATAGAGAAGTGCTTACCTCTGATACTCATGAATGCATGTTATGTGCATAATAAGAACTTGAAGTTTAGAATGGAAAGAGAAGAAACAAAACAATCTTTAAGAAAAGTAAAGAATGTCTTTATGAAGATTTTATCTGGAAGTAATAATTGATCGTGTTTTAAAAAACGAGTCTATATTTAATTTAGAATTATAAGTGCGTAATAATTGATCTTTGAGAAGAATTTTATCTCTTCAATTAAAAATCGACCATGTTTTAACTAATGAATCTCTTATTTAAGCAAATTAAAAAAAAAAAAAAAGTTTTGCCTTCGAAGTAAACAATTAATTTTACGCGTCTAATAAACAAGAATTTAATTATTTATGGTGTTTCAAAAAATAGATTTTAATTATAGAGATAAATACGATTAATAGTTAAAGTAAAGATTTGATAGTAGCAATGGAATGAAGATAAGATGAGTGTGTTTTCATTTGATGTAATGATAATAATTGAAAGGTTGTTGCATGTGAGAGTTGTGGGAACTTAGCCTTGAGGCTTTTGGTTTTGGTACATTCCCTTTTTCTTAAAGTACAAAGCACTAACCTCATAGCCTTTACAACTCAATATCAAAATCAAGAAGCAAATATTGTCAACTTTTTCTCATTGTATGAGAAGACTTTCTAGTTGCTTTTGTGCCTCTATACCCTCCTTTTCCGAACACAAAATCTCTCTATTCATCACTTCTTTTCCACCTATTACCTCTCCTCTTATTCTAATCCTATCCGCCCCCACACTCATTATTCAACATTTTCAAATCTTAATCAAATTTCAACTCTGCTCATCCAATCACCCACACAAACCTGTCACCCTCCAATTCACAATGTAAATACTTTTATGCTCCAGGTAACTCTATCACGCTCCAAACTTTAATCCCTCAACTGTCAAACACATTTCTTATTTATGTTGTTAAATTTGGAGTTGCTGAATCGCTTAAGGTTGTGTGAGTGTTGAAATATATTTCTCAAAGATGTTGTCTAGGTAACTTTTTGTATTTTAGTTTGGTTATTTGCTGATACCAAATTTCTTGATGAAAAATTCAAGTGTTGTTTCTTAAAGAAAAAAAAGAAAGTGTCAAAAAGTGAGAGATGTTTAAAGGAATGAAATAGATTTTTCATAAATTAAAATTAATTTATATACAAAATGTTTTTACAACATTTTATACATGACTAATGAAATAAAAAAAAAATATAAAGAACCTGTATAAAAGATTAAACTACTTTTAACTTAGAATATGTTATTTTATTTTCCTTTCTTATTTTCTTTCTTAAAGTTTCCTTATAAAAGAATTTGTTGAAATAAAATAATTTAATAATTAAAAAGGTAAAAAAAAATTGTTTAGATTTTTGTCTAAATATCGAATTGATTAGTGAATATTATTATAGTTTAACAGTAAAATAACCTAATCTGAAATCGAATTGATATTTAATATTACAACAAAATATAATAAATAACACTTTTTATAGGTAATTTATCCTAAAATATGTGTAACAAAAGTGTTGCTTTAAACGTGCGCGACATCTGGTATAGTAACTCAAACTCGGCTTTGAACAGTTTAGTTGGAAGTCATTCACTTCAAGCATACAAAGACAACTTAAATACGATGACTGATAAAAAAAAATCTTTTTCTTAATTTATTTATAAAATAAGGATATGTAAAAATGTATTTCCAAAAAGCAAATTACTTTGAATATAAAAACATGTTGTTTTCAATATATGAAACAATGTTCCTTCCTAATCTGAAAAGAGTAATGGAAAAAGAATATAAATGGAAGGAGTGTTGTTGTGAGATTAACCTGAAAGTTATGATAAAGAAGCAGAATTAACATAAGCTTACTACTATTCAGCATTGTGATGATAAATAAATTTGACAAGGTGAGAGTTGGTTTAGAATAAAGAGAGTTTTGGATTGCATGATTAAAATTTGTCATTAAGCAATAGTCCTACCCTACTTATTACCATTATTCCCTACAAGTCCCATCAGGTTACCAACCTTTCCCATGCCATGTGCACCCAGGTGTTCACCAACATCCCAGCTGGCTCCCCAGCCATGTCAGGGTGTAAAGTCCCACCCACACCCCAAACAAATCTAACAATGAAACACATCTTAAACTGTATCACGATGCAGATCGACTTTCCCTACATATCTAAATAGTAAAACCACTCCATTATTCAAATCTAAACCACACACCAATCTGTGACATCTTTCAAATTAGAGGCCCTAGCTAAGCTTCTCCACCCTTCAAAAATTTCCTTCACCATGTACCACCACCACCCACTACTACTACTACTACACTTGGCTATTGGACATTACACTGTATGTATTCATTCCATTCTATTCTCCTTCTTTGGGAAACATCCAAACAAGTCTTGAACAACATTATTATTATAATTATCACCATTATATATCACTTCACCTTCTCTTCTTCATCTTCTTCCTTGCAGTTCTCTTCGGTTTCTGACTCCTCCTTAGGGCTCTCACTGTCCAAAGCTCTTTTTTCTTGCTCTTCCTCTTCAACCCCGTTTTCCCCTCTCATCAGAAACCCATTTTTCTCGTTCATCTCCACCCTCACCTTCAGCGTTTCCAACAGTTCCTCCACCGCCTTCTCCTTCTTGCGCCTGTTCTTGATCAATAACTCGCTGATATCCGCTGGAGTCATACGAGCCACGTCCACAACCTCCTCCAACTGTTTCAAAATTGTCTCCTCTATCTCGCACTCTTCACAACCCAGGTAGTTTTTCAGCAGAATCTTCAGCGCCGGGAACGAACAGTAACTCATGAAAATATGCATATCCATTCTCCCACTCCGTAACAGAGCAGGGTCCAGCTTCTCAATGTGGTTGGTGGTAAACACGAAAATCCTCTCACTCCCGCAACAAGACCACAACCCATCAGTGAAATTCAACAACCCAGACAGAGTAATTGTGTTCCCACCTTCCTCGCCGCACCCACCGCCGCCGCCACCTCGTAACTCCGAATCGTAGTAACTCCTCGAAGCCGAAACCGAAGTGTTACCGTTGTTGTTTCTGTTTGTGAGGTTGATAGAGCAATCAATGTCCTCGATCACTATGATAGACTTGGAGCTGGTTTTCATGAGAAGCTTCCGGAGTTCAGAGTTGTTATGCACCTCTGTCAACTCCAAATCATAGATATCATAGCCAAGGTAATTGGCCATAGCCGCAATCATGCTAGATTTACCAGTCCCTGGCGGGCCATAGAGAAGGTAACCCCTCTTCCATGCCCTTCCAGTCTTATGGTAGAAAGATTGTCCATTGGCGAAGTCCTGAAGATCCTCCATGATCTCTTTCTTCTTCTGAGGGTCCATGGCCAATGTGTCAAAGGTGCTGGGGTGCTTGAAGGGCACGGATTCCCAAGGGTGACCCCGGGAATCCAAGGAACCACCTCTGGAATTGGTGTACAAAAGACGATCCTGGTTCTTCCTTCTGATATCGCTGGCTTTCTCCATAATGTAATCGAGGTAGGAATTAAGGACCAAGGACTTGTCTTTCTTCTTGATCCGGAGCGTGAAGCCACGCTTCTCGTCGGGGAGAGGACGCCAGGAGAAGGTCTGGGCCTGCCTCTGTGTGACCACGTGTTCCCAGAGGACGTTGACGCCGTTGAAGGTGTCCACGATGCTGTCATTGTTGGCAAGGCCGAAGGTGAAGCCGCTGGAGTTGACGGCGCGTGTCAGACTCAGGCGGTTTCCGGTGATGGAGACGGAGGAGCTGAGATAGAGCTGCACGGCGTTGTAGAGCTCGTTGGTGTTGACGCCGTCGATCTCGGTTATGTCAAAGTAGCAGTAGGAGGAGAAGCAGTGGAAGATCCGATTGAAGAGTTTGACGGAAGCAAAACGGAGTTCCGGGGGGAAGACTGCTTGGAGGATGGTTTGACAGAAGGCAAACACACCGAGAAGTGAGGCGAGAGAGGTCCAATATTCTCTCATTTTTTTGTTTTCCCCTCTTTGTAACAGATGAGGGCGGGTTGTAATTTGATGGTAGTGATGTTGGGTGTATATATAGAGAGAGTGAGGGGTTGTGAAAGGGAAGAAGAGAATAGAAAGGAAGCGAAGAGGTTTGAAATGTAATGTAATGCAAGGTAATGTGATGTGAAAAGAGTAGTGCGTGGGCCAAGGAAGGGGATTTAAGTACAGAGGAGAGAGAGAGAAAGAAACAAAAAGGGTTTTGGAATTTTGGGTTGGGAAGAAAGCAGAAATCAGAGATGGGGCCTAATGTATTGTGTTGAGTGTTTAAGCTACACTACAGCACTTTTGAAAGGATTCTTTTTCTCCCTTTACACTAATGTGGAAATTTTATTTTGAACTTTGCTGCTGCCAGAGATAGATGGATGGATGGCTGAACATAACTCTGAAATGCTATCAGAATGCCCCCTTTCCATATCTTTTCTTTGCAATTGGACAAGCAACTATGTTGGAAAGGGAATGATTTACAGCTGGTTGCACCCATGTCAATAACGACTATGGGTTAAAAAAACATCACATAATTAGAAACACCACAACACACCCTTCTTGTTTCTATTATCGTTATTATTTCAAAACACTTACCCACGTACCTGAATCCTGATGCTGATAGGGATATGTCATATGTGCATGTGAGTTTTTGCAGGAATTAATTAGTAGTAAAACCGAGAAGATCATGTACCACTGGGTTTGGGCTATGCTGTCCTTTTTAATTATTGTATTGTACTGCCTCAGTGGAAACTATATGCACATTGGATGTGTCATTTTATTTCATTTCATTTTCTTTCGATTAGTAGAAGATTAATAAGAATATAGGGACCCCTGTCTATAGCTAAAGCATTGATTGAAATTTACAAGTAATAAGACCCCACCACCAAACTCTTTCTCACATGTAAACACAATTATCTAACCAATTATTCTTTTTTGTTTCTGAAACATTTATTTGATTTGGAGTATTATCTTTCCTTTCATACATTTTCTGACTACAAATTAATGGGGTTGCTTGTCAGTTGAGAAAAGATTGAGGAAGTAGTTAATCGAGGGAATCGATATGGAAGGATTCGAAGCCATTTGGGGAGCATAAAAGAAGGGTTTCTTTAATCTCAACCCATAACAAGTGTCCAATTCACAATGGGTCCAACCTGCCAACCTTATGAATAGTTTGTTGGTACTACTAAAACACTTCTTTCCTTTTTCTCTCTTGCTATTCCCTCTCTATAAAAATACGACAAAAACACAACCATAATTTCTATCCAAATGTTTTCGTAAAAGGATGAAGAGGAAATGATGCTCATTGGTTATATTTTAAAACAAAAAAGTGTCTTATATTCCATCAATTCTAGATGGATAAATGTTATTGGTTTAAATGTAGACACACGCATATTGCTTCCTGCAGAGAAGGATTCCCTATAGATATCATCCTCTAAACAAATAGTCACTCACACTCTGTACATGATTTACATAAAATTTGATAAAATGGTCATTTTTAGAAAATTAAGATAATTTTGAGTGTTTCACATGTATGAATAAAATTGAATGGAAACAACAGAATCATTGGTGAAACTGATTTAAACTGATATCGACAAGTACTATTTATCCTCGGTGAAATTGATTTAAACAATAATTTGTGAATGATTGACAGAGGAATCTCATAAAAAAAATAAAACAACCAAAATCATGGTATTCATTTGAAAGAGTGCAGTTTAAAGCAAATAGTATTTTATTAAAATGGTGTCATTGAGAAGTAATAATATGGATAAAAAGGTGTATAACATATGACAGGAGAGAGGAGAAAAAAGAGTTGATTTAAATTGATTACTGAGAAAGATGGTTTGTGCATTTGACTAATTGTGTTGTTTTGTTTTTAGTTGGACACGAAGAACAATAGAGTATGCTTCTTGAATCTCTAAACTAAATCCATTGTCCTATTGTTCTTTATTATATCTTACTTTATATGCCTATCCAAAAAGGTACAAAAATCCACAATGTGCTTCATTAAAAAAATAAATTTCAGTCAGTAAATATGTATTCTAAGGAGGAAAGAAATATGTGATACGAAAGAGAGAAAAAAAAACATGGAAAAAAAATGCTTGATGCGAGAAAGAAACAAGCGTAGTTTCATTTTTTTTATTAATAATTTTAATTATTTTATTCAGAAGAAGTAATGTGGGTCAATTCGATTTGTTGAGGTCCAATCCACATTTGACATGCAATATATGGGTTGAATTAGTTTGTTCTACATAAAATATATGTAAGCTGAAAATATTAGTTCATTCTATATTGGAATTGGTTCCAAGACTTATGAGTTAGTATGCATACGTGGCTTGAAATCTTTTTATCAATTTATGACAGATTTCATATTTTATGAATTTTTTTTTCATTTGTATGTATTAGTTGAAAATAATTTCATACCTCATTCAATTATTTTATAACAAAATAAAGTGATTGAAACTATTTACTATTACATTTTAATCATACTTAAGTTATGGATGAAATTCAAGTTCAAGGAAAACACTAACAAATAGAGTTTGAAGTTGATCAACATGAATAGAATGATAAATATGATTGTGATATGATATTGGTCAATGATCTCGTAGAGAGATTTTGTGTTTAGTTAGTGTATATGTTGATGTTGGGAGTTTTCATGTTGGAGGTTATCCTGATACTCTAATAATTATACAATCTCAATTAGAGAAATATGAGTTATGTGGTGAGAGGGATAAGAAGTCCTAGTTTATGTGTCGATTTTGGACATATTAACAAGTTAACCTTGTGGAGGGTATGACGTATTGATAATGTCTCTATAAAAAAAAAATAGTGAGTACATGACCTCCCGTGATTTCGCATCAACGTTTCATTCTGATGGTCGAGTCTAGTACGATATGATAGGATGATTGAATATAATATTATTGTTGAATGATAATATAATTATTGTTATGATTTATTCATATTTTATGAATGATCTATTGCATGTTAACTCACCCCTACTTATTTGTGTTTGTGTTGGTATTTATGTTTGTGCGATGATCGTATAACGTATGTGTTATACAGGAATAGATAAGAGAATAACATCTGATCTAGTGCAAGTGAAGAGAGAAACAGAGGAATAGTGGAGAAGAGTCCTAATCATTTTTTGAGTGTTTTATTTAATATTTAAAATATGTATCTTTCATATGAACTCCTTTACATTTCCTTATGGACAACTGTAATAATGATACAGTATGTTATCTATGAAGTATTAAGTGTAGTTAAAAAGGGATGTTACATATAACATCCTACTCTACTCTTTCGCACCCTCACTATTCAACACCTGATCCACAAAAAAATGCATATATGCTCACATCATTTAGATAATCATTGAAAAAGAGAGAACAAATTTACAAAAAAATAAAGATATGAGGGTAAGCTAATGTTAAAAAAATAAACAATCATACAACAATTTTATTGGATTAATCCAATGAACATAGATATATCAATCAATTTTAAGACATATGAGTATACATTATAGACTTGATCATCCGGATTAACATCAGACTTTGGAAGTTTTTCACTTATGGTAGTGGAATATTAGCTTGCCTACTCAAGCTACCACACACAAAATTAGTCTGTTAACTATCTTTGGCCAAGACAAAGCCCCTAGACCCGGACCTGCTGCTCCTCTCACCACATACCTCACATTTTTCTACTTAAGATTGGATGATTATTATAGTGTCAAGATAATCCCCAATATGGAATCCCTACATAATTACATACACTACTTAACCACATCAATCATGTATGGAATAACACAAATCATTTACATTTCAGGTTTCTAAACCAACCATTGTTTTGATATTCACATAATCAAGCACAATAAATCATCATAAGAGATAAATATAAATTTAATTAAAATTTATGGTATTTTCACTAAACCACATATTTGTTTCTCAATGAATGGTACTTTGCAGCTCATTCCCTTAGCCACCAGATAGCTCACTAAGCGAATACCACTGAAACTTACATATTTCAATTCTCCTAAAAGTCACATAACGAGTATACTTTTGCTCTACAAATGTTAAGTCAGTGAACTCTTTAACTCACTGACTTTGGTTTCATGTAATGAGATTTTTCTCACCCAATGACCACCAAGTCAGTAGCTCCCTGATTTTAACTTATTCATCGAGTATATACTCGTCCAATGAGTTTGCATAATTATGCATAACAAAATGCTGCAGATTTATGTCATTTCAACCATGTATACCCAATCTAACACTAACAGCAGATGCTAAAAATCAACCAATATTTAAATTATACACAATTCAATAACTCAATTAACCTCAAATGAAATTTCAATCATACAACATATCAACATTCTTGCATACAATCACCAAGACAATTCAAAACTACTAACTTAACTCAACAAGTCATAATTCATCAAACAACTCAATTTCACAAACCAATTATCATATAAGTCTACAATTGTCAATTATAAGTTGTTTATCAATTAAAATCAAAGTAATTTAGCTTCCATTACCTTTTTATAAAACCAAACTACTCCAAGAGTGCTAGAAAAGCTCCAACAACTTAAAGAGTTTTATCTGCTCCTACAAACCACATAAACATGGTGAGGGTATATCATTAGTATCGTTGATAAGCATAAACTCTTATAGAAGACTTAAATGACACATGTGATAGAAAAGACACACAAAATAAAGAAAAAAATAGAAATTAACTTACCCTTTTGCAAGAACTAATCGGACAGACAAAGACCTAGCCTAAGTGATCACTTAGACAAGCTTTAATCTTTAAACAAATTAACAATGAGTCAAAAGATTTAGAAAGATAGTAAAAAGCTTTTAGATGACAAATTTTAAAAAGATAATATACTTTTGGATAATGAAACTCATTAAGAGAAATTATATTTATACATTGAACTTAGTATTAAAATAACTTGAGTTCCACATAACTTTTAATACCTTATTTTCTAAAATCTCACAAACATCAACAAAAAGTTAAACTTATTTATAATTTTTTCACAAAAATAAGGCTGAAATAAGTAACTAAGAAAAAGATAAAACTTCCTAGCCATACTTGAGTAGCCTTTGTTTTCGTTACTGAAATATTGTTTACGAAATAAATGGATAATGATATTTTGACAACATCTTTTTAACAACATTTAACATCATCTACGTATCTTTCTGTGGTTATGATTATTGTTATTGATTCTGGAGTAATTTTAGACCAATCACAGACGAACACGTAGAGAATATTAAAATATTGTCAAAAAAATATTGTTAAACATCATTATCCTAAAGAAAGATGTGCATAACATATCTGTATCAAACAATTTGCCAATATTGACAACCAAAGAGGAACTTCACTAAACTGGAGAATATGGTGAGAAAATAAAAATTCATTTTTACATCAATTACATTATTATCATCCCATTCTTAGAATTTGGAAGAGATTACGTTGCTAAAAAAACATATATTTGAAATCGATGACGAGAGTGATAAAAAAATCAATTATTATATGTATAAAAAATAAATTCTTATATTCTTTCTATATATTAAAAATAAATTCTCTATATATATAAATAGATTATCGACATTATATATATATATAATTATAATTAATAAATAATTCTCTCTCTCTATATATAATTATAAATTAATTAATATAATATACTAAAGTAATACACAGTAATAAATTATTATTATTATTACTACTTTTATAATAATAATAATAATAATTATAATAATATTAATAATTATAATAACCAGTGATAATTTATATATTTATACGTGTGTTTATTTTTTATGATAAAAAAATAACTAGTGATAATTTATATACTT